AACTTTTTCAGTTGGCGGCACACTTACAGATTTAGTATTTTGTCACGGCACCCTAGTTGTGTTCAACGAAGTGTTGTTGTACAAGGTTTGTGCTTTCTTTCCAACCTGCTTATTACATAGTGTCATAGGAAATCACAACACGTAATACACAACTCTATATTGATACTTGTGACTAGGTGCAGAAATGAAAACAACTGTAATCTGATGCTCATATAGGTATATATTGAACTGATGCACAAAAATATTAAATAAAAGTTTACAATTGGGTGCCACTTGTTTTTTTTTTCTCAATTCTGTTTTGATGCCATTATCAATGTCAAGAAATTGTCGAAGGCACAATTTCATAATGGCCGCTACACAAAACCAAAGTAAGAAGTCAAAGAATTGTCAAAACCTTAACTTTTTCCATGTAGACATCAATCGTATTTTCACTTAAAAAAAATCAGGAAGCTAAAACTACCATGGTAACCAGAAATGGACTTTCATCACCAGAATTGAACAAAATTTGTAGCCAGTCGAAGGAGCACCCAATTCCACACTAGAGCCGAATATTATATTATCATAATAGAAGAAAAATAGGAAAAAAGCAATTGTCCGGGTGAGCTTGCTGATCTCCACAAAGGTTTTCAAAGAAAGGGGTAAGACTTGACACTGCCCCACTTACAGTCAAAAGTCGTTAATTCGGACACCCATAAATCCGGACCTCAAAGCTAAAATCTTTCTGCGCATGCGCCGCGTTGACGCATGCGCATAGGCGTTTTACACGTGCGCGCAAGACATTTACGACTGCGCATATGTGTCTGCGCAAGCGCAGAATACGTTTTCGTGTGCGCGTTTAATGTATAACGTACGGTATAAGCTAAAATTATCTAATTATCTATTTCAGTTAATGTTGATGATTGCGTTCTTCCTTAATCTTCGAATTGGATCCGGCTTATTATTTTTTGCAGACTGTCAGAGCAATTTTATAAAAGTAAGCTTGAACTTTCGATTATGTCAAATAGAATTTCCGATGCTGGAGCTCCCAAAGGATCTAGAAAACGAAAGTATGTTTCTATATCCATCAAACAAAAAACAAATTGCTACAAAAAATGGATAAAAAAATGCATATCCTTTGTTTATCTAACTGTTCCGAAATTTGTTTGTTTATCAATTTCAAGCTGCTCCTGCGCAGGGGAAAGGGGGGGACGTTGCGGCACGCAAGGAACTGGAAGTTGATCTGTCAGCACTATCCTTATCTTCAGGGCAGATGTTTTTATTTTATTCCGCTTATAATTCCTTACTAAATGTAGTATTTAATCTCGATGTACTCTGTCTTTCATATGATTTAAATCAAATTCCTCATCATTATAATATCACGAATACAAATCAAATAGTTTTCTGGTTGCAATTTTCTAATTTCGGCTATGCGTAAGGTATGCTTTACGTATGCGTGCGTTGAAAGAAATGTTTAATAAAGTAAACAAATAAATATTAAGCTTCTTTTTTTGTAAATTTTGATACCCTTTAGATCATAATTGCTCATTATTTTATAAATTACGGTTTGATATTTTTAATTTTATAATTTCTGCATGCCATTTTACCAGATTTAAACTGATGATCTATAATCTGGAAAAATCGATAATCCGGAATCGCCGAAGTCCCGACGAATCCGGATTAAAGACTTTTGACTGTATTTCTTGCTCCCCATTGATCTTTCAACAATATTTGCTCTTATTAGAGCTACAGCTGAAAATCTGGTTTTGCATAAATATGATGTTGCAAAAGGAATGAGAATCCTTAAAGCTTTAGAACTTTAGTTGGATAGTCATTTTTGATGATTATCCCAAACTCCAAAATGGAACAAGCAAATTTTGTTTTAAGGCTGTTGCTGCAAGAGAGTTCAATGAGTCTCTTGTGAAGTGAGTCCTGGTAGAGCTTGAGCTTGGAAAGGATTTTGAATCCATAAATATTTCTTAGTATTTTTCTTCCGCAAAATATTTTGGGAAGCATTCAGTGAGCTTCGAAAGGTGTTCTGTTAAAAGGAACAGCAATTTTTGAGAGACAATGAGCTCATTGGAGAATACATATTTATGCAATTCGTGGAAACAATCTTGCCCGCTATCCTCATCAATTTTCCTTATCCACAACTCTGCAGTTTTCTTCTAAATGCCACAGTCTTCTCTATTAGTTTAAAGATTTATATATTATTGCCTTGTAGAGACATATTTAAGGCCATTCAGTTTGTCAGATATATCTCACAAATATACCAGTTTTAGTCAAAAGTCTGGTTCGGAAAGTACCTGGAGTTTGCATGTCCTTCCTCTTAGAAAAATGTGAATTTCTTCATGTAGCTCAAATGCATGGGATAAGACATTTCTGCGTGAAAGCCATTGTGAACTACAGTAATATAGCAGTGTTCAGCTCCCATGTCCTTGCAAAGTTTTTTTAAATAGTTTGGCATTCAGCGGCCTAGTTTTTATGTAGTTTTTACCATGTCTATACGTCCCATTAACCGAATTCAATTTGCAGCTCGACTTTGATACAAGTGCTTCCCTGTGGGTGAGGCAGTGGGTCCACGTAGCTTGCAGTGTTTGCGATGAGCTCTTGAGACAACGCCTGTCAGTATGATGCGACGGTCGAATGCAGGCTTCTGGAAATCTCTCGCATCGGTTAGCAAAGAATTCGGCATTGCCAAAACCAATCCGAAGTCCATACACGGAAGGAGAGTGCTGTTGTCAGTTTCCTACGCAATGAGCGATTTAGCCAGTGCATACAATTTGAATTTAGATTCCGTAAAATAATAAACAGGATTGCCTCGTGCCGTCTGCCTTAGGTGCTGACAATCTTAAGGAAGCTGGTTTTTAATTTGAAAAGAGCAGTGTTGATAAAAATTACTTTTCTGTGCAAGTTAGCAATTTTGGCAGCTTTTTCTAAAACAATTGCCAAACTGTCAATTTTAACATGAGTTGGCCAAAATTATCAGCATACCAAAGCAAAATATTCATAAGCAGTATAAAATTCTATATAATATATGAGATTTTATACTATATATACTATATAATATATGAGACTATATAATATATATATACTATATAATATATGAGAATATATTTTGCATTTATGCAAATTATATGAGACATAAAAAATAAATAAAACACCTTTTTTTTTTAGAAATCTATTTTCACTTTCATCATATGTGGAACATATAGATTAGTTTTGCTGTTATTTATCCATAACAGAAGTTTCCTATAATTAATTAAATTCAGAAGTTTAGTCTGCGAAAATTTTATATTAAATCTTTCCAATTTCGTCAACAGCTTCTTTTCACATTTTTGCTTCAGATTAGTTAACATATTATATAATTTGTATATTAATACATAATAAACAATTAAGCAAAGCTATAATTATTATGCTCACAAACTTATAATATATTTACAGGAAAAACAATAATAAATAGAAATAATATATATAATAATTTTTTCTATTCACTAAAAGAACTTCCTTGTTCATAGTCATAGAAATTTTGATCCGTCATTTTTCACAGAAACTACGAGTTGAGTTAAGTGTTTGGCAATATCCTATGTAAAAATTTTATTACAAATTATGAAAATAAATGAAACAATACCAGATTCATGTGAGCTTACTGATTGCACATAAAAGACACATTTATTTTATTCTTAGCTTAAAAGAAATATTTAGAATATGAGAAAATATGTCTAATGAATTTATCAAAGCATATTACTGTATTTAGGCGAGTTTACTGATTGCACAGAAAAGACCAATTTATTTTGTGCTTAACTGAAAAGCGATATATAAAATAGTTGAAAATATGTACAATGACTTTATTGAAGCTTATTCCCTATACAAAACACAAAAAAAGATTCTCAAATTGTTATCTGCATGCAAATTAATATGTATATAGCAGCATGCCAAACACATTTCCTTTTTACAGTAAATCATAAAAAACAACTTCAGTCATATGCTGATTGCCCCCGAACAATTAACATGATGACCACTCTAACATAATGAAAATTATTGATGTTTAAATATATAATGTTTTAAAAATTAGCAGATAGTCACAGCTGAGGACACATGACAGAGTGAAATATCCATAATTCTGTTGATCCAGGTTATTAAAAAGGTTGCCAGAAAAAACTGTCACCAAACAACAAAACTGCCAAATTTAGCATGCATTTAGCTGCCATGTTCCTAAAACTGCTTTGCTCATAGTTTGAAAAATCTTTCTGAAGGTCAAGTCAGCAACTGATCATAAAGGTGCAGGCATCTTTGTGAGCTCCTCGGTTTTGACAAACAATGGCTAACTTTTATAAATGTGGTTACATCTTTATAACAGGACACCATTATGAAGGTGGCTCTAAACTACTTTATTCTAATGCAAGTTTTTTGTGTATTTGTTTTATCACCTACCCTTAGATTAAGATTAGATTGATTATAGCAAAGCATTAGGTATATTTGCCTGTGGAGAGAAACATTTTCATAGAAAAAGTTTTTATGAATCTGGCCTGTATTTATGTGACACCTAAGAAAAACCAGAGAAAGCTTGTATAGCCATCGTATTTAACTTGTAAAACCTGGTGTGAGCTAATGTTTCTCTGGCTGTATTTACTCTGGCTGGAAAGAATGTATGTATGTATAAAATTTTAATGCATGAAATAATTGATGTTTAGCTAAAAGATAGTTACTTTTTCATAGCTTATAAAGGAAAATGTTAAATTTGATGTGTTCGATTAATTAACTTCAATAAGGCTATATACAATAACACGCCGAACAAATATTAATTTAGAAGTCAAACAACAAAAATCAGCGTTATATTTTCAAATTATCACAGAACTAGTTTCGATGGTTTTACCTTCAGTAAAGCTATTAAAATATTTAACAAAACAGTGTTTTATGCCTTAAATTTATCTGTTCAGAAGTCATGGTTTTAAATAAAATGTTGCATAAATAAGTTGTAGAAATGTTAAAATTTAGCGCAAGATTTTCCTTAACTGGAGTAGAAACTTGAAGAACTGAATAAATATCCTGATTTCAACAATTACCTTATATTTATATTGACAAAACTGACATCTGAAGGTAAGTTGCTATTTTTTGTAATTTCCTCCGCTTTTTTCCCATGAGCAGATTTTCTATTTTGAGTGAAACAGTATGTAATCATAATGTTGTAATGATTCAATCTTGAAGATATTAATACATTTTTTATTTTTTAGTACATAAAATTAGATCAAAACAAATAAATTATTGCTTTTCTCTTTTTTTTTTTTTTAAATTTTCTTTTGGGAACTGCCACTGAACTTCTTATCATTCCTACTGCAATAAATAACAGAAACCAAACAACTGCAATCAACTCCTGATTTACCAGGGTAATAATAGTGGATGATATGCACAGTTAACTCAAAATCGCAGTTAATCCAAAGTCTGTAAAAAATTAATAAAAGAATTGAAAAAGCCGATACATAACTATAATATATGAAAAGAAAAATGCTACAAGGCAATTTACCTGCACAGTATTTTCAGCAACTATTCTTTAATAGAGTTTCAAATCAACTTTATCAAAAAATAAAAATTAAAGGACAGCTGCACTTTTTGGAGGAATGTCCCATGTCCCACCGATTTTTTAAAAATATCTCGCTTTTTAGGAAATATCTCTGCATTTCTTATTTTAAATATGTAGAGACATTAGGTTAATTGAAAAAGCCAGAGAGAGAAAAAATTAGCAATCGCTTTCCCCGGGAATCGAACCATGGACCTCTGCAATACCGGCTCAGTGTGTAGAACAACTACACCACGAAGGCACGCTAGGAAAGTGGGAGAAATACCTTATAAATGTACTGTAAAAAAATTACCTATTATTTATTAATATATTATTAAGTATATAATATAAGAAATTATTATAGTAAATATAAATATAATATTTGCCTATTATTATTATTATAGTAAAATAAAGAAATAAAAAATACATAATTAAAAAAAAAACATATAAAATGGATGCACAGTAATCTAAATTAGGCGATGTAATGAGCTAGATTTATTGGGTGGTGTTTTATTATTTTCGTTACGTCTCGTTAAGGAATATGTATTGTTAACAGAGGAACTGCTAGCATTAGCTGAAGGGCTATTTGCTTTCCACATCATAAACCACAATCAAAGTTTCAGATCAATTGATTGTACGTCGCAAATGATCGAAACATTGTAGGATAAAAAATTTGCATGTGCAAGGACAAAAGTCGAAGCAATTATTTGTAATGTTTTTTTCACTATATTCGTTTTCACAATTGCAGAAAGAATAAGATAAATGCACATTTATATCCATATATTAAAACACGACAAAATGCTTACTGGAGCAGATCACAGGTTTTGGGCTGAAGCAATGGCCACTGCGGCCTATCTCCACAACAAGCGCCCATCTATGGCAATTGATGGCGATATTCCAGAGGAAAGAATGTCAGGATCTGGAAGCGAAACAGACCGCCTCAGAGTTTTCGGATGCAGGGCCTGTAGTCATGTTCGCTCACACTCAAGAGGAAGCAAGCTTGATCCTAAAGCTACAGAATGTGTTTTTGTGGGCTATCCTAAAGGAGTTAAGGGCTACAAATTGTATGACCTGAAGAAGAAACATTTTTTTTTTTTTGTCAGCAGAGATGTCATTTTTGATGTGTCATTGCCAGGTGAAATTTCACAAATAATTTTTGATTCAATAAGTACTATTTTAAATTGAGTAATTTGAACAATAAAATTATTGCCTATTATGAGAATAACATCAACACAGATTTTGGCGGAAAAACTAGAAGAGGCATCAATAACGTTTTTATGAAACTTGACGAACATTTGAACAAAAAAATTATTGAAGTAGGTTGTGCACTGCACATTCTACACAGTACTATTTAGACAGCATCTGACTGACTTCCAATGGATCTTGAAAATATTATTGCAAAAATTTATTCGTATTTTTATATATATATTGTGCATGTTGAAAGTTTGCAGGATTTTTGTGAAAGCACAGAAATCGAATATAAAAGAATTATTGATGATTATAGCAAAACACGATGGCTAGTTCTTTTACCAGCTGTAGAAAATATTTTTAAAATATACGAACCATTAAAATCATACTTTTTATCACAAGATTATTGCACCTCTTTTTTTAAAAGGACACATCACAAATTTGGCTTCAATTCATCTACAACCAAAGCTACATTATTTCACAATGCTGAGAAAATTATTGAAGGGGATGAAATTTCAATTACGAAAGTGTCAAATGAAATCAATAATTTAAAAACAAAATTGCAAGAAAGAATTGATAATGATTATGTTCCTTTGGTTATTCGAAAGGACATGACTAAAAACCTGATTTTCTGAAAGAAGTCAGAAATTTTTATAATAACTGCTTGGAATATCTTGAAGAGCGGACATTTCAATTCGAGGATATTAGAAATTTTCATTGGGTGATGCTTGTTGTGGAGATAAGCCGCAGTGGCCATTGCTTCAGCCCAAAACCTGTGATCTGCTCCGGTAAGCATTTTATCATGTTTTAATATATGGATATAAATGTGCATTTATCTTATTCTTTCTGCAATTGTGAAAACGAATATAGTGAAAAAACATTACAAATAATTGCTTCGACTTTTGTCCTTGCACATGCAAATTTTTAAAAAAGGAGATTTTATTGGAATATGTGAAAAAAATCTTTTTAATATATTAGTAACCATTTTCCGAAAAATGATATTTGCGAAAATAATCTTTTTGATGAGGTGCCATTGGTAAAAAGATACGTTACTGTTGGAAAAATTAAATGTTGGTTGTCTGCAAATGTAGAAACAGACAAAAAATGGACAGTTATTCCTTCATTTTAAACAGAGTAATATTCCTTATGAAAATATTTTGAAAATTGTAGAACACGCACTGTCCCTTCCAGGAACAAATGCAGCAACAGAACGTGTTTTTTTTAGTATCAATAAAATATGGACTATTGAAAAAACTCAGTTGAACATTAAAACTTTATAATCTGTATTAAGCATAAAACATAATTTGACCAATTCATATGAGAAATTTCATGACATTTTAATAAATGATCCGAACCTGTTGCAAAGTATTCACTCGGATTAAAATATGACATAAAGAAATCATAATTTTTTAAATAAAATTTTAATTATTAGAAAACGTAATATTCAATTATAGTTTTTAAATATTTTTATAGTTACTAATAGTTATAATAAATATTTTTTGTATATTTATAACAAATATATGTATACAATAAAACATATTTTTTTGAATTATTGGTCTGCTTTCATAACTAAATTACAATTTTCATTTCATTCCATTTGTCCCACTTTGTCTCGATGAAAATGTGGTCACTATACTTGCATGACTAACAATTTTTTAATCTGTGTGGGTTTTGAATGAGGGAAAGTTGTAATCACACTCCATCCATTCAGAAATAATTTTTCATCCACATGTTCACCATTAGGCGCGCTATTTGCAATCTTGTGCAATAAGTTGGTGTCACCTCCGTATCTGTATCAAAACCAAAAACTTTCATGTTTTTCCATGCCTGGAAGAATTTTTCTTGGAAGATTTAATTCTTATTGAGGATTTCACTTTCTCCCATGTGGCGGCACTCTCATAGATAGCATCCAAAAATGAAAAATTTTTCAGGAAAATTTTTAGATCATGATCTTCCTTGATAAATTTACGTAAACAACAGAACAGTAATTTCATTTGACTGACACAATAACACCATAGTCTGTAGATATAAGAGCTGTCACATTAGCTGGCAAGTAATTTACAAAAAAATTGTCCATTTTTATACTTTAATGTCAATTCATTGGATAGAATGGCTCTTGTCTAAAACTTACACTGCTCTTTCAGGAAGGCCCTGTGATTTTAAAAAGTCTTACCTGAAGTATGAATTTTGTAACAAACCTTTTCTGAAATATGATTCATTCATCCCCTTTTCTGATTGAAATAATGTACTAGTAAGTTGGTTGCTTCCATGCCTTTAAGACCTTGGATTTTTCGTCTTTCCAATGACTACTAATTTCAATTTGTGGTTTTCTGCTGCATCACATATCATTATTGTTAAGTTGTTATTGCCACATGAGATTTATTGACCTTGTGACTGAGAGCGTTCTTTTTCAGACACAAGAGCTTTTTTTTGACAAGTATTTCCAAAATAGCCCTGATTCATCAACATTGTATATTTGCTTTGGAAGCAAATTTTCAGTCTCGATCAAGTTTTTAAAATCATCGCAAAAATCTTTTGCCGTATTCTGATTGCCACTTAGAAGTTCACCGTGTATTCAAGCTCTTGGAGACCATGGCACTGTTTGAAATGCATAAGCCATCCTGGTGATGCACAGAATTTGCCCTCGAGTCCTAATTGTTGAGAAAATTTATATTTTTTTTTCTGCACAAATCATTCCATTTATTGGGTTTCCCTGTGCTCTGCTGACTAAACCGCTCTAGCGTGTCTTTATCCAAGTTCTCACAGGTTGACCATTGTTTTCTTTTCTTTTATTCTCATGGCAGAATCAATTGCACACGCAAATCGCACAAGTCAATCCCTTTTCATTAATAAATCACATATAGTCTGCTGGCCAACTAAATACTGCAAAGACGCTGATTTCACACTTGATCCATTCTCTAGTCATCATTTCAAGCTTCTGGTGAATGGAAAGAACAATGCATTTCCATTTTCTTTTCCTGACATTTTGCAAGCAATACTGATTACTTTAATTCGCAGCCACTTGTCAATGAAAACATAAAATTTAAGCTTTCTCTTGAAGCGTCCAAGTGAATTTTAAAAATAGCAGTTTCTGTTTCAGCAAAAGTACAGAAATTATTCGCCAACCAGAGCTTCAATTACTGTATCACCTAATTAAGAGTGCATCTATTATCAGTCGTAAGGAGAGGTAAGTGAGGATGGGAACAAGGTATAGGAAGGAATTTGGGTACATTTCCGTTTCGCCGGCGCAAATCTCTCCAAGCAGACTTTGTTGGCGACAGCATACAGTATACACATAAAAAATGTTAACAAATAATTAGTTTTGAGAATTTTTTATTTTGAAGGCATGAACATTTTAATATGGTTTAAAATTTTGTAAAAAGCCAATAAATAAAGACAATAAATTTGTAAAAAGACATTAATTTAAGAATTTACTATGCTTTCATGGTTCAACATCCTGATTCGCCGGTTCGTATCACGTGACCCCAAGTGATCTTATCTCATGTAAACTAAGCTACAAAAATTTAATTCTCTCAGTAATTATCTACATTAATTTCAAGTTAAATCTTATGGAATACAAGTTTAAATTCAAGAATTATTTCAATTCGTACGAATAGCTTACTCAGCATTATCGAGTGAGTGGTGTGATTGCATCCTAACTAATTACCGTGAATGGTCTTAGGGCATAAAATTTAATTAGTAAAAATTCTATGTAATTGTATGCCAATATTGAAAGAAACAATCAATCTGATAAGAAATGACTGCGACTTGTTTTGAAAAATGAAGGGTAAAAGGTTACCAGCGAAGATATTCCGTTTGGCATCAGTTGTACCATTATTGGCGACTTTATCGTTTGCGCTGGCTAAATGGAAAAGTATTGGGATTTGTAACTGAAAAAAAAAGGTCAGGATTTTAAAAATATGTTGGAAATGGGTTAAGGCGGGGGGGGGGGGGGGAATAAGCGTGGAAAGCCATCAAATAAAGCTTCATATCGTCTCTCTCTCTCACTAAATTCTTGCAATAATTTTTTTTTTTTTTTTAAAGTGGGGCCTCAGTTAAGCCATAATCTAGTCAATCTACCCGTGATAAATTGGGAGTTGACTTAAAAGAATTTTTTTCACTGAATGTATTTTTATGAAATTAAGATCTTCTGTAGTACATTATATTATTGTAAGTTTTTCAAATGATATTGTTTGTGCCCAAAACATTTAGCTATCATGTTCTACTATAAATATTTTTACTGTGTATATATGTTTTTAATATTTAAATATAATTATAGTCTGGAAATGAATAACTACTCATGAAATGTTTAGTGTTTTTTTAGTTTAAAGGCAGTTAAGTGATGTAACGTAACTGTAGGATAGTAGATTTATTTCTAAAATATTATCCCAGACATAATACAAAGTCCTGCTATTAATTTCCAGGACTCATGGAACAACTCAGAAGAAAAAAAGGTTAAAAACATAGCCATTTAATATGATTCAAAGTAATCCCCATCAGCTGTAATGCACGTCTGTACAAATTTCGGAAAGAAGTTCTAAAGTCCTCTTTTGGAATGCTCTTTAATAAGGTACAGTTTTCTTGATGGCTTCGACATCCTGAAATCTTGTTCCCATCAGCGAATTTTTCAGCTTAGGAAACAGGAAAAAGTCTGCGGGTGCTAAGACTGGAGTGCTAGGAGGGTATGGTGGATGCTGCATTTCATCGACACCATGCTGGGCTAAGAATCGCTTCATAGGCAATGCAATGTGTGGGCAGGCATTGTCATGTAGCAGCAGCCAACTCCCATTTTGTTGAAAATGAGGTCTCACTCTACGAATTTGTTTTCGAAGTCGGTCAAGAACTTCTGTGTAGAACTGTCCTTTGGTAGTCATGTTAGCAGGAAGACATTTATGATGAACGAGTCCATCACAATCGAAGAAAGCAATTAACATGACCTTGATTTTGGACTTTTCAAATCAAAATTTTTTCTGCCTTGGTGAACTTGGAGACCGCCATTTGGAGCTTTGACCCTTGGTTTCAGGGTCATATTGATAACACCTAGACTCGTCTCCTATGACTATTTTATCCAAGAACGCAGGGTCAGCATTAGTGTTGTCGATAAGTTCGCCACATGCGTCCAGTCTCAATTACTTTTGTTCGTCCCTTAAATGGTGAGGAACAAATCTTGCATTTGCCTAGGTCTTGCGTCAAAATTCGCTGTACCGTAGGATGGCACTTAATAATATGCACCGCATAATATGTGTAGATTTTGTTGGAATGAATAGGACTTCGAATATTCCAATCATAAAAACATTTATTCCTTAATAAACACATTAAATATAAGGCACAAGTAAACTGCTAAGCAGGGTTAACTTTGTAGCATGTCAATATTTAACGGGATAACATGTCTTTAGTCGACAATCTTATGATACATCGCAATAGTGTATAGCAGATGCCAGCCTATTATGCTAGTGAAGCATATCACTGCGCACGCGTGAAGCGTAAGCCCCCACAGAACGAACACGCTACTAGGGGGAACATCTGCTCTCCCTGGGTGCAGCATCCAGGGGGTGCCAAATTGATATTACAAAATTTTAGAATGAAATATTTTCCATTCTTGGCACACAGAAGGGGGTGCAAAATTTTCATCCCCGGGCACTGAAAAATCCTAGCTGCGGCTCTGCTTAACTTTCATGTTTTCTTGAAATTAATAGAAGTAAATTTGTAAAGAATAAAATGTATTTTTTATAATCAGTAGCTATATTACATATTAATTTATTATTTTCATTGTGTGGAAGGAAGTGAAGCAGTGATTAGTGTGAATCCCCCTAAATATCAGATTTAATGCATATGTATTCTAATAAGAACATTCACATTTATAATTTTAATGGAACTTTGAAACTTAATTACATGTGCTCTAAATATACAGCAGACAAAAAGTTCTCAACCTCCAGGAACATGAAAGTTTTGCTGTTGGCGATTCCCTATCGAACAGAATACTGTATAACTGCTTACAATTCTTCGAGCTGTGGTAATTGATTCTTTTACTGCTTTTCTTAGCAACAAAGCGTGTATGTTTGGATTATTAGCAACTTGCATTTTTGCCAAATAGCCAAAGATGGGATCTGTTCCTATTGATCATCAGATGACTGATATGTATACTGTTTCATTTTTAACTAAAAATGTAGAGTCAAATGTTCCATTAAATTAAACTCCATTTTCTTATTCCATTTTTTTTTCTCTTCATATTTTCTTGTTTAATTTCAAAATCATTAACTGCTAGAAATGGTAGTACTATATTCTGTGGCTGGGTGCTTATGCTTTTTACCATATCTACGTGGTTTGTACAGTCCTTTTTTTTTTCTTTTTAATGATTTTTGGTTTATAAAAGTCTTTAATTTCAGCCAAAATCAGCAAAAGATTTTTAATTTTAATCATCTGTCATTTTTTGTTTCTTAGACTGCCATTTTGAGTGTGAATTAGCATTCTAGAGGAATATTTCTTTGTAATTCGTTGACAAATATATATTTGATAGGTTATCGTTTGAATTTGTTCCTACTTTTAATGTAAACAGTACAATACTCGAGTTTCTGAGTAAGAAGTGAAATGTAAACATTTCTAAATAATTTGTTCTTTGCAAATGAGTTCATAAAATTTTACATCAAAAGCAGCCATTTCCTTTTGGGGGTATTCATTCTTTTATTAAACAGTGCTAATTTTGGTGACTTAATAAATGTTTTGGCGATTTAAGATCAGTTTGTATTCAAAATTTTTTATTTGGAGATTTGATGATTTTCTTTTACAAACATAACATTGATAAATATCATTAAAGCAAAGGTAATATATTAAAATTGTATTTAGGAAACAACATTAAAATAAAACATTTTCCCCCAACATATTATAAAATGACATTACTTTCCATTTTGGTAACATTTTATTGGAATATTTTGAATATTGAAAAATAAATAAGATAACAAGAGAATAAACAAGAAATAAATGCTGTAAAGCATAGTTTTTGAAACACTTCTTGCAAAAGCAAAATAGAAATGCAAATGCTTGTCTTAAATTCTAAAAATTAATTCAGTGTTACTTATTGACTAAGTTAATTTTACTCATGATTATATTCTGATGCTTTTATAAACTAATTAGTCTGATAGCTTCTTGAAATCAAATTTCTGTAACCTACCTATTCTATCAAGTATTTGCTTATTGATCTGTGGTTTTAAAAATATGCACGGATATAGTTTGATTGATTGTGCTGATTTAAACAATTTTTGATTCAAATAATGCTTTATGAAGTTTCTTCCACCTCAACATAAATGTTACGATATTAAACCCAGTCAAGTGCTTAAAGCATAATTTAACTTGTTGGCAACTTGAAAAATTTGGCATAAATTAAAGCCTTTGTATAATTTGCATTGAGAAAGATTTTTATTAGTATGATTAGAAAAGTTCTTGTGATGTTGCTCAGTAACCAGCCTTACCATTTTGCATTAAGAATTGCCAGCTATCAGGGTATGTTTGGCCAATCTCTATTAACTGAATAACCCTATAGCAAAAGATGTTTGACAGTTTTAATTACTGCTAAATCACAATCAGATAGCCCACCATGGGATTTAAGAAGGCTATTTGTATTCTAATCAAGTTTTGTTACGTCTATTTCCTATGATAGTTTAATTGTAGTTAATTTCTGTGTTTTTCCTTGCATAAATTGCATTATATAATGATTTATATTTCTTTAAATATTTTTATATATAGATGAGCCAACTAGGTCGTTAAGTGGCTTAATATTGAAAAACAATGTAAAAGCTCATTTTCATCAGTTCCCTCCTGAAGTGACTGAATTCATAAAATCAGAATGTCTGAACAGTGTTGGAGATCCTTCACCTCTGATCCGAGCTACCATTGGCATTCTAATCACAACAATAGCATCAAAAGGCGAGCTTACCAACTGGGTTGACTTATTACCACGTTTATGCCATTTACTTGACTCTGAGGACTATAATGTTTGTGAGGCAAGTTTTCTGTTTTTATTTCTAAAGATATAATGCCTAAAATACTGTTTTTTAGTGTTTTCATTGTTTTTTGTCTTGTAATTATTATGTAATATTCTTAATTTTTACTTTTGCAATTTTTTTTCGCAGGGTTCATTTGGAGCCTTGCAAAAAATATGTGAAGATTCTGCAGAGTATTTGGACTCGGATGCTTTAAACAGACCTCTAAATGTCTTAATACCAAAGTTTTTACAATTTTTCAGGCACAGTAGTCCTAAAATTCGCTCACATGCAATTGCGTGTGTTAACCAATTTATTATAAATAGAACTCAAGTATTAATGTTGCACATAGATGAATTTTTAGAGGTAAGAATTTATAATGTCTTGCAAGATTGCTTAATAGTTTTTTCCTCTTTGAAAAGACATAAAATGATGAAATGGATAAAATATAATGACATTCTTATGATCTGTGTTTTATTTGAAATATTAAAAAATATTTAATATTTTTAGAATTTATTTCATCTGGCATCTGATGAAGATCCAGAAGTTGGTAAAAATGTTTGTCGTGCTGTAGTTTTATTATTGGAAGTTAGGATGGATAGGCTGATTCCTCATATACACGATATAATAGAAGTGAGTGTCTTAAATACTTCATTTTTCTTCTGCTTAATGTATCCTTAAAAGAAACAATCTTTGTAAAATGTGAATGAATGAATGAAATGAAATTCAAAAGCATTTGTTGAAAAAAGTAGTAAGCAATAATTCTTATGTAATCTAAATTTTTTCAAATCCAAAAATTTTATTCATTACTTTTTACACAAAATTGCTAATTATCTTTTATTTAATACTTCTCTTTTAATAGTTCAAGTCTTTTTGAATTATAAAATACTGACATAGTAAATTTTAAAATATTTTTTTATACATATTTTATTTAGAAAGTTCTTAAGAAGTCTATATTTGTGGATATTCTAATAAAATTATTTACATTATATAATGTTCCATTGTAGTTCATGTTAATGAGAACACAAGACCTTGACGAAGGAGTAGCTTTAGAAGCTTGTGAATTCTGGCTTTCCTTAGCTGATGAACCAATTTGTAAAGAAGCTTTGGCTCCTCATTTACCTAGTCTCATTCCAACTTTAGTCAGAGGCATGAAATATTCTGAACTTGATATAATTCTTTTGAAGGTTGGTAATTTTTAATACTCGTTGCAGTACATATAAAAGATAAATTTTTCTTATTTATATTTTAAATGCAAGATTCTTAATACATGAAAATGAGTAGAGTGTAACATTTTAATGAAATTTGTTCTTGATAATGGAGTCCAAATGTTACCAAGTAAAAAATACACTAATCCAAAGTAACATTTTTAGTATAAAACATGGGGGTATTCTCTGATTCTAGTGGCCCTCAAGGTTGATCGGTAATCAACTTAGATATTTTGCTGAAATCTCACCACATGTTGTTATACCCCACTACATGTTACATTTCATTTGATTAGCGATTAAATTTTGGAGACCACTATAATGAGGAAGTACCTAAAATGGCTATAAAATGCATATAACTTCATTTCTGAGAAAACAAACCACGACATTTGCATAACCATTAGAATTAGAAAAACAATTTCTGAAGAATTACTTCTATACTATACCTTCTGTCAATTAAATTCAGAATTATTACTCCTATTTACCTGTACAATAATTTCATCAGTTGCTTAAATTTTTTTTAGCTGAGTTATTTTCTGTGGGTGATACTATAATCTGTTGGTGTATTAAAAATATGATTACTTTGCCAACTCCAATATTACAGTATGAACACCTAGTTAGGCTTATGTGAATTTCTTTATATGTATATTGTCATAAAGCTCTTATTAGGAATGCATCCATATATATGTAATATTTTTCTACACTCTGTTTATTGTTGACTCCATATGTAATGTTTTCTACACTTTGTTTATTGTAATCATAAAGTTGCTTATTATAATGCTGAATAAGCAGAAAAGGGTAATGAAAATTTAGATTTTTGATTACTTTTTATGAATTTAAGGAGACATTTCTTCAGTTTGCTGAACTCCTTCCAGCTCAAGACTTGTCACTGGCTGAGTGGTAAAGTGGTAAAGATCACTTACCATAGATAGTCCATTGTATGATTTTAATTCCAAAGATTATTTCCTTTTACATTGAATATCACTGCCATTGAAAATTAGCAATTTGTCAGGCCACATGTGGAATTAAAAACATGTTCATTAAATTCTAACATTGTGAAAGTAATGCCATTTGACTTCGTAATACTTAAACAATAAGATGATTTTATACTGTGTAATTGATATCTGTCAGCACCTAATAAAAGTATCTTTGTACTGGTACAATTTTTATCAGTTTTCATTGTGTAGATAATACCATGTTTTTATGCAATGTAATTGATATCTCTCAGGATCTAATAACAGTATCTTTCTACTAGTACAATTTATGTCAAATTTCATTCTATAGATAAAGAGCAAAAACACGTGAATGCTGTGTACTGTATTTTTTGCTAAATCATATCCCCGACCTTCCTTTACAATTAAAGTGTCTCATTTTCACCTTATACATACTATCTATTGTTAATTTGGTATTAGCTGTGTGTTTGTATCTGCAAGCAGCTGTCTCGTTAATTTAATGTCTTGCATATAAGAGGCTAAATGCTTGATGATTTTTTTGTAGTTTTTGTGTATACAATGCAAATGTGAATCAGTTTTTCTTAAAAAGTTTTCCATGAAGGCTTTACTGTATGGACAACTAGCCTATATAATCTTTCTAATACTTAACCAACTGATTACACTTTTTTTTTTCCCCTTGTCACCATGCTTTCAGAGAACTGATGTTCTACTTTTCCCGCATTCCATATATTTTCTTAAACATTTGAAATCCATGCTGTAAATACTCAAGAATGTCATATTCTCTGGACATTATAGCATCAGATATTTTCATTTTAGTGTAGTCTTGTTTTAGATATTTGCAGAGTTGCAACTCTGCCAACAGAATTCTAACAGCTGCGTAATACTGAAATAAAAAATCTCAAATATGTATGTATACACTGGTTATCTTTAGAAAAATGTGTAATGTAGAATACTTGACAAATGGAACCCATTTTTTACATTTTGGAAGTAAATGCTTCTAGAGTTAAGATAAAAGACTATTGAAAGTTATAAAATACCTTAAGTAAATGGAGATGTGATTATTACTTCCGCTGTTAAAAATAAGTATGAGAAAAATCAAGTAATTTCTGCACCTGAAAGCAATTTAATTGGCAGTTCTTAAAATAATACTACAAAATATACATGTAAAACTCAACCAAAGCAATGTTCTCAAAAAAAAAAAAAAAAAAAAAAAAAAGTTTGACAAGGGACATATTTTTGATTACACTAAGTTTATCTTGTAAAAAATGAATATATATCTTTTTGTCTTTGGACTTAAACAAAGCTTTTTTTACATTCCATTTTGCCATAATTCAATGTTCTTAATACAATTCTACAATGTGGAATTCCATTAATTCATGTTTTGCAATCAATGATTAGTGATCTGGTTAAAATATTATTTAATGATTAGAGGAACTGATTAGAGTAATTTTTTGTCATTAGAAAGTACAAGTAATAAAAACTTTTATTTATTTATTTTTTGCATGTATTGCTTCCAGATATTAGTTAGTTACTATTTAAAATTAATTTATTATTAAAAAATATTTTTCTTCTATTTTTCATTATTTAAAAAATCTTTTTCTTGTTGAGAAAACTGTGATTTCTTAAAAAATTCTCCTTATTTTTTTAGTATCGTAGGTTGGCAAGTATGTATCTGTGTTCAGCTGGAAAGCCTTTTTTATCTTTGACCAGTCCATTTACTTTTGAATAAACTTCAGCATTTATGTTCGATTGTTTATGTTGTGACTATATTTAGAGTTTTATTATTAGCATTATTTGGATTTACTCAGTGGTATGATTTGTGGATCATATTTCAAGGTCGGGTTGATGCCTTTGCTTAGTAGTATTCATTCGAAATGTGAACAAAAAATTTCTGACGTATCAAGTCGAACAATAGAAATTTTTCCATATCAACCAGAAATCAGTTTAGTATTCTTGCTATAGGCCAAAACAAATTGTTTTCATTATCATCATCAGTTAAAACTGTTTCACCAATTTTTGGTGTACACAACAGCATTTTTCATGGCATTTTTGAATAAGTTCACTAAGTTGTTCTTTTCTGAGATATTTTCTTAAATTGTTAAAAAGTTCTGTATTTTAATTTTTTATTAAGAATCCAGTTTGCCAATATCCCTAGTACTGAAATGATGGTTTATAGCAGATGCAAAGATCACTAAATGCCCTTCTGAAATAGGTTTCATTATCACAATAAATTGTGCTTAATTTTCGTAATCCAGTGATAAACTGCCTAAGCAGCAACAAGTAAGTGTCTGAAGATAATGAATTTAATCCGGTCATGATACAGGTGGGGACTTCTGTTTGTAGCACACCACACAAAAAGGCCTTTATTACTAACTGGGCAGGATATGCCAAAGCCTTAAACAACACCACACTACACATTCCAACAGCCACCATGGGTGATGAGTTAGATGCTTTGGTCCAAGAATTTACCACAAACTTAACTACTGCCCTGGATGCAAATAGCACACCAGTCTCTCACAGGCACAAGGCAACAGATCCTGAACTGAAGAAACTAATCCAAGAAAGAAACGCTGCCAGAAAGGTTTGGCAAAGGTACATCGTTTCCTGCTGACAAAACAACCCTCAACAGACTGAACCATCTGGTCAGGACTCGTACTCATAAACATACACAACGCGACTGGACCAACTATCTCACTTCCCTTTCAGCAGATCAAAGCTCTGTATGGAAGGCGACTGCTAAACTTAAGAGATGCCACACCAATATTCCGCCCTTAAATGGCCAACAAAATATTGCCCTCACAGAAATTGAGAAAGCTGAGTCACTAGCTGATCACTATGCTTCTCAATTTTGCATAAACAACATTTCTCACCCTCAAACAGAACACCTTGTTAACACCACACTAACAGAATTCCCTTCAAAGCCACGCACGAACAACATCACTCCTGTCAGACACTCAGAGGTCTATGGCTACATTGAAAAACTGCTCGTCAAGAAAAGCCCTGGCATCGACAAGATTTCCAACAAAATGATCAGATGTATGGGAATTCTCATGCTGCTGAAACTTACATCCATCATCAACGACATGCTAAGACTGGGATATTATCCAATGCCATGGAAAACTGCCATTATTGTACCTATTCTCAAGCCTGGAAAGCCTCCTGCAGAACCAGCCTCCTACAGACCAATTAGTCTTCTGTCCTCGCTCAGCAAGGTGGCGGAGCACATCATCCTGACAAGACTTCAAGCCTACATGGACCTAAAAAATGTCATCATTCCACAACAACATGGTTTCAGGAAGAAACATTCCTCTGTCCACCAGCTGTACCGGGTGACGGATTACATCTCTCAAGGACTGCAGGAGCGGCAGACCACAGGTGCCATCTTCCTTGATGTAGCTAAGGCCTTTGATCGTGTCTGGCTGGAGGGCCTCATGCACAAAATTATCTCTCTGGGATTCCCAGATTACATTACAGCCATCACATACTCCTATCTTAAGGATAGACACTTTGTCGTTCGTGTAAACAACACATACTCAACCTCACGAGCTATCAGGGCTGGGGTCCCACAAGGGAGCCCCCTTGGGCCCATCTACTATAATATCTACACGAACGACATCCCACAAACACCACACACCACCCTGGCTATGTACGCCGACGACACGGCAATACTCTCAAAAAATGCATCTCCTAGTCCAGTTATACAAGCACTCCAATCTCACATCCACGCACTCGAGTCCTGGCTCACTGCCTGGAAATTCAAAATCAATGTGGACAAGTCGGAGGCGATCTGGTTTACGAAAAGAGTCAACATCGACTCTGAAGACTCCATCCTCATGTATAACATCCCTGTACAGTGGACTAGGCAAGCCCGATACCTAGGCATTACTTTAGATAGGCGACTCACATGGACCCCACACATTACACAGCTTATTGCCAAGTTCCGTGCTCGTAAACGAACACTTACCCCCTTAATTAGCAGGAACTCCGTTCTCTCTATTGATAATAAGCTGGTCATTTACAAAACCCTTTTGCGTCCCATACTTTCTTATGCCTGCCCTGTTTGGGGATATACCAGCCATACCAGTATTAATAAACTGCAAGTCTTGCAGAATGTTACGCTTCGACAACTATCCAGAAGCCGTTGGTTTATAAGAAATACGGCCATCCATGAGGAGTTGGAAATACCAACTATTTCAAACTATTTTGCACTCCTTGCAGAAAAATTTTTCCAAAATATTCCTAATGTTAACAATAGTTCAATTACTGTGCCTCACTATGACTACTCACTTGATATTAATAGCAAGCGGCCACTTGCGATTCTAAGATATCTAAACTAATTCAATTTTTTATAACCTAATTATGTAAACACTCTCCCTTACTTGAGTGTTGTTTTGTTGATTTGATTTCTTTTGATATGACTTGATTTGTACTGACTCGCTGCCTGACTTATTTTCTGTACATAGTGTACATATTTCCTACTTTATGTCTTATGTATTTTTTCCTTATTATGTATTATTTAATTACCTACGGAATGTTATGTATTTATGCTTACTCAACTGTAACTATGATGAGTGGTCACACGGACTCTTATTCAGACTAGTGATAGGCAATTTCTTTTTTACTACGCCATTGCACACTTACCTCCGTCTAAGGCATATCAGCTACTGGTGTTTCTTCAGGACTCATATCATCGGTTCTTGTATGAACTCATAGTGCTCGAATTTTCTATTCAACTGCTCGATGATCAAGGAATCGAAAATCGCACACATCTTATCCCGGGATAGCGTTGCCACGCGGGAACCCACTTTGCGAAAACTCATCGAGTTTGCCTGAGCCGAAGATAATGAATTTACCACTTCCATGTGAATGATCAAACTACTATGCAAATAAACAATGCTGTCTACACCTTTTCTCCAGTTTTTAAAAACAAAGGTCCGGCCAAATGCATTCCCACATCTTCGAAAGCTGCACAATTTGTATCTCAGTCTGGCGACAAAAGTGTAGGTTCACTTGACATAGATTTAACTTTAAAATAGTTAGGTCATGCAATTATATAAAGTGTTCTTAATTGTTTTCCTAACTTTAATTATACAAAATGTTTTTTGCATTAAAGTTCGAATTATTTAATTCCAGCATGACAGTTCTCTAAGTATATACCAATTTGATCAAATATCCTAGTAAATTCACATTTGACTGGTTATGAATAATTTTAGTTCTTATTCTTAAAATATTACCTTGATCTTTAAATGTAACAAAATTAAAAGATTTTACACCAGGCAAATAATAGCTTTGAACTAAATGAATCAAACACTTCTAGAATTTTCAATTTCAAAAAAAGAAAGTTCAGGGTTTTTATATTTGACACAAGTTTGCTGACAGTTATTTAAAAATCTTAAAATGCAAGCAAATAATCCCATAATTTGATATGTTAAGATGCCAAAGGGATGTATCTTTCACCAAACCAATAATCACTATTTTAGTCTTTTTTTTCTTTCTACATCTTTTTTTTTTTAGGCTGACTCAGTTTTACCAATTGGCCATCATTCAGGGTTTTCCTCTAGTCATGAAGGTCCACCTATCACTTAGAAACAGTCATGCTCCTAGCAGAACAACCATATGACAGTAAATCAGCAATGTACTGTCCGGAACATGCTTTCAGGCTTGTGAATTTGTCAATTGACGAATTTCTTGTTGCTCACGAAAACTGATCAGTTTCCCAACTCTTTTATCTATCAAATGGTTGTAGTAGAATCGGAACAGTGTTTTATTGTAAGGTCTGGTAGAATAAGCACTTTGAACTAGAATTCACAAGCTTAGTGCTTATACTACAAGCTGTCTATTCAAGTTATTCAGGCATCGGAGAGGAGCTACTCTAGGCTTTCTTTTAGGAGCTTTATTAACGATGTATGGTACATGATTTCTTGAGTAACATTACTTCTTGGAACAGGCAGGAATTTCTTTCCAGTAAAAGTTATTAAAATATGTATTTCAGAGTTGAACGGAGCAAAATAGTTAATGAAAATATGTGTATATAGAATAGAATTATACAGATGCTGTCCATTTAAATCTAGATCTCAGATTGCAGCTGTAGTTAGTTAAAAAATGAAATACTTAATGCTTATCTAATTGAGTGGGAATTATTTCTATTTTTGTTATGTAGTAGTGCAATTTTTCTCTTGCAAAATGTTTATGTGAATTATTGCAAATGTGAAATTTTTTAAAAGCTTCCGACTTCCTAACTACAAAATTTTCACGAGTCAACTTCCCTGCAGATTTTGACTTTTTGGTGTGTGTGTGGGGGGGAAGGCACTATAAAATTACTGCACTGATGTAATGAGTAAATTTTAGTCATCGTATTATTTGTGAAGGATTTCCTTTTGTAATAAACTGCAAATAATAACATTTTTGTATGTGGCAGGGATATTAATAGTTATTATTATTTTTAAGAATTTAAGAATTTTATTTGAATATAAAAGTTCAAATGATTTTTATTAATAGGGCAATGTTGAACAAGATGAGATGATTCCAGACCGTGAAGAAGATATAAGGCCCAGATTCCATAAATCAAAAACTCATAGCCAGAAACACATGGATGACAATACAGAGGTATTTTTCAAATTGATTAAGTCATAAAACTCTCTGCAATAGTTATTAAGTATTTACTATGCAATGTTATAAACTGTGCAAAATTTATTCTAAATTTGTTTTGAGTAGCATGTTAATGCATGTTTAATGTTAAAAATTTTGTGGTAAAAATTGAAATGAGTGATTTCAAAGGAAAGGCTGTTTCAGATTCATGTTCATCATTTGACATAAATATTAATTGACTATGCATGAAGAATTATAGTTACATATTTGCTTAAATTTATTTTTTCATGTAATTTTCATATAAAACTTAGTCTATTTACAAATGCTAAAATTGAATTCTGTTAGGTTTCATCTAGTAATTTTTTTTTCAATTTGGAGAACACAAAAGCATAAAGTTTCATTTTCAAGTTTTACTGCTTATTATTTTTAAAATCTTTATATTCTGTTGATGCTGCTAGGGAGACATTTGCAGATAATGAGCTAATACACTAAGTACACTTATTGAAGAATAAATCTGTATTAAATTTTAAAGAAAATATGTTTTATTATGTAAGTGTAATGTGTTATTATTTAAACTCTCATAAATTTCAAAGTAGGCTATTTGAATATATGTTTTAGCTGATTTAGAAATAGGATACATGAATGGTATTATTCCGTGTCTTGGAAGTTTTCTGAAAACCTTTAGAAGACCAGATTTACTGATTAGCATCAGAATAGTTCTGCATTTATACAAGCAGTTACGGAATCAAGTACTGACCACATGAGAATATCACTTTTATAATGACAAGTATTATATTAATATGATAACATATGAGGAAGCTGTACTGTGCAATTTGTATAGTGCTGGAATAATAATTTCTAAATGACGTGCTACAAGCTGCAAAAAATAATCAAAATGCCTAACGAGTTCTTAGCTATGTCTAATGGAGGGGTGTTGTAGATCATAACAGTTTAGGATGTTGTAGATCATAACAGGCATAACAGTTTGACTGCAGTTATTCTTTTCTGGAAATCACTTAATGAGAATAAAACAAAGTATGGAATATCAAAATGAAAGTGAGTATTATCAATTCATACATTCTCTGAAAACTGTACAACACAATACAAATGAGAAATCATTGACAAAATCTCAAATAAGATTAAATAGTAAGCTTCATGTTATGAGGAAAAGAAAGAATGTTTATTCTGAAAGAAACAAAAAAAAAATTATCATTAGGATTTTCAATGCATAAAATGGACAATGTGTGGACAGACGCCATACAAAGGCCATAAAAATTTCAAACAGTTTAAAATGACAAAGAATGAAAAGTATATCAGCCATTGTTTATTGTATATATTCAGTTGAGACTGTACTACAGTATGAGCATAAGGAGCTATTTGTCAAGTGCATGGGGAGGATGCGTTTGCACATCATTGCTGGTTTCGAAAATTCTTTGATGAAAACTGAAGTTGTAACTGAGCTATTGCTGATTTCAAAAATTCTTTGATGAAGACTGAAGTTGTAACTGAGTTATATCGAATGCCTTTCATACAACTGTTGAAAAATTAGTGAAAACACTATTAGAACTAAAATTTAACTACTAAATGCTATTCAGAACAACACTTTAAAGAGAAATGCTACTGTTCACCACAAAGTTGCTGGATCAGTATATAAAGCTGTATAAAAAGTAGTAGCAGATGAGAACCAGGACTTTCTATGCTTTATTATTCCAGAAATGTACGATTTTTGAATGAATTATGACAAGTGATAAAAAATAGAAGCCTCTACAGCAGGGGTTCTAAACCGCAGGAATTTCATTGTTTCAGGAGGGGAATGTGGTCAGCCTTTTATTTACCTGTTAAGTATGTAGTTTTATTTTATGAATATAAAAAAATTCTTTTATTCAAGTTTTAGTATTTATCAACATTTTCTATACTTTCTCATGCTTAATTTTATAAAACACATTAAAAATTAATCTAAATTTAAATAAATGTGCATGTATTTTTCGAATTTGGGAATTTAGAGGAGGGGGTTGAAATGATTGTCTAGCACTGGTAAAAAGGGTGGAACGAAAAAGGTTGAGAACACATACTCTACACTAACGTCAAATGTTGGAAGGGCTGTGTGTCATATAGCAGAGGCAGCTCCTCCCATGTTAAGAGAAGGATTTCATCATGAAAAGGTTTAGCTAAGTGTATGGTGGGATATGAAGTGAATAATCCAGTGAGGTAAGCTGTAATGTAAGCTAATCGTTAATGCAGTTGTATACGGTCAACAGTTGGGCAAGCTAAGGCAAAAACTGATACGTAAGCGGGCAGCACTTCCGGTCACTAAGACAATTTAAACTCCAACCCTATATTACTTTAATCATTTGATAAAAAAGGCTTGGTTTAAAAAGTTGGTAGTAACATTTGGTTAGTAAGTTTTACCTTTTCTCCGGACGTTGCTCCTTTGGATTGCCATCTTTTTCAAACATTACTGATTTCCATGACCCATTAAATCTTGGACGTTGCACAAGATATGAAAACAATGTTACAAGATTTTTTAAAATTTGAAACCAGTTGATTATTGGTAAGGCATTAATCTATGACCAGCTAGATGGGAAGAGGTCATACTAAATTAAGTAAATTTGCAAATATGTTACAATTTCATGTATTAGCTATTTTTCACCTAAAAAAAGAGTGAAAACTTTTATTTCAACCCAGTACATTGGAACAATACATATTATCAAAATAAACACAAAAGTATTCACATTTTTTTCTATTTAAAATAAAATTACTTCTCCAAGGCATTTAACTGTGAAAGTATACAGTAGTTGTAGGTGACAAGTGTGTGAAATGCAAGGGATTGATATTTCTGCATATAGTAAATCTTTTAAGAAATATAGCAGTTTCTAAAAGATTCAAAAGCATCTGTTATATAGCTGACTGCATTAATTGATTGATGACATTCTATTTATTTTAGAAGTATTCTGTTTCTGAACATTTAACAATTTTAATCTTTCAAGTTGAAATTATTTTAATGTTTGTTATTTAACTTTCAGCTGTATTTTGGATGTATGCAAATTTTCAGTTTATAAAATTTATCTGTTAATTGTTTATTTTATTGCAGAATGATACAGAATCTGACGATGGTTTAGATGATGATTCCTCTTTATCTGACTGGAATTTGAGTAGGATTTTTTTTGAAGATTTCTATGAGTTTATATAAAATATTTCTTAAACTAAAGCTGATTAATCTTTTATAATATATCTGTCTGTAACCAGTTATGAATTATTTTAGGAAAATGCTCTGCTGCTGCATTAGATGTCTTAGCTAGCGTATTTCATGAAGAACTTTTACCTGTTCTACTGCCAATTTTGCGAGAAACCCTTTTTCACCAAGACTGGGAAATTAAAGAATCTGGGATTTTGGCTTTAGGTGCAATTGCAGAAGGTAGAGAATCAGTTCATCATTTAATAATGCACATGTCTGTCATTTTTACATAAAAAGTATTGGGGGTTGTAGTGTTACATCAGCTATTTATCAACCATGTGATTTTGGGACATGTGAATGAGATAAAACTTCGGTGTTTTCTGTTCGTGATGACAATCTGTTTCAAAAGTTTTGGATTTTAAAATCTCTATTTCATCTTTTAAATTAGTATATCTATGTAGCTGTGTGATTTAAAAGCAAAAAGATACGGTTCGTTTGATAACTAATTAAGTTTTTATTTTTTAATAATATATTTGATATAAAAGTATATTAAATTTATAATGTTGCCTATTGCTGTTACATAAAAATCTAAATATAAACATTTGAAGCATTAGTAATATAAAATAAATGAAATGGTTTTTGGATGTACGAGGGTGAATCAAATATAAAAATGAGCCTGTAGTCTAAACAAAATTTATTTTATAGGAAACATCTGCATTTCTACTAATTATTTTCCTAAATAATCCCCTTTTGTGATACATTTTCCCTAATGTTTTGGTAATTTTTTCATTCTGTTCTCATAGAAGGAAGTTGGACAGGTATCAAACCAGCTTCACACAAATGTTTCCACTTGATCTTTGGTCTCCAATCATTTGCTTCCAAGTGCTTCTTTAAGAGGTCCAACCGAGAAAATCGCATATCAAAAAGACTAGGCTGTAAGGTAGATGATGAAATATTTTTGAGTGCATGTCCACCAGTTTCTGCTGCATTACACCTGCTGTGTGGGGCCTAGTGTTGTCGTAGAGGATCAACACCTCGTGGATGGGACAGTCTCATCTTTTGCATTGATACTGAAGCCTAATTTGATCCAAGAGGCCACAGTAGCAGCTTGTATCAGTGCAAGAAATCCAACAGTAGGAACTCCTCCAGCTCCCAAAAACCATGGCCAACACTTTTCCAGGTCAATCAAGTTTTGGCTTTTACGGGTTTCCATCTCCACTCTATGCTTGCATGCTTTGATTGGGGGTGTAATGATGCACCCATGCCTCATCACAGGTGATAGTTTAATGCAAAAAAGCTTCCCCTTCTTCAGAACAATTTTGAAGCAACTGAGAAATGCAAACTCATGCAGCTTTTTGATCATCATCGGAACCTAACAAGCTGAGATTTTTCTAAAACCTAATTGCTTTCTGATGTCTGATTGGACATTCCATAGGTGAGACCAAGTTCTTCCAAAATTGGAAGCACAGCACTGTGCAGCATCGATCACATTCAATAAGCAAAGTGCAGTTCCATTAGTCACACTGGTAGACTGATGGGGCACTGGTCACACTGGTGTGAGAATGATGCTGGATGACCTTGATTTGCAACACATTCATGCCTTGTTTGAATTCATTGCACCAAGCTTTCCTCTTGACTATGAAAGGGGAGCTTCCCCGAACTGGACATGCAGTCTGCTGTAAATTTAGGTTGTTTCATGTTTTCACGGACTAAAAACTGTATGCGTTTCTCAGTAAAAATGGGTACACTCCTCTCATTCATCGTAAGAACTACTAAATAATGCACAGGACAAGCTGGCTGTTGTGGTTCCCTTACTCTAGGCAATCCCACCTAATGACTTCAACTGCCCAAACACATATAATGCCCAACCAATAAAGACTCGCTGATATTTGATCGCCCTACACATTTAATTTAAAAAGTATCCATATGATGGTTTTTAAGAATATTTGAAGTTCTATTGCAATTAGTAAAAGACATTTTAATGCAGTACCTAATATTTCTTGTTATAATGTTTTTTTTTTTTTTTTTTTAATTTTTATTTTCTGATTGTTACTTTTTTAAGAAATTAGATGTTTTAAAATATGTTTGTTATGTGTAATTTATGTTTCACTTAGTATGTGCTGCTCCATTAAATATGATATGAAACCTTTCTTTCTACTTTTTGAAATTCAGCTCACATTCTGAAGTAATAAATAATAGCAGTTTTTATTACCTTCTATTTTTCTGTGTATTTAAAAATTGTTCAAAATACAATTCTAATTTTATAAAAATATCAGTCACGGTACAGAAATCTTTCTCTCTTTGATCTCATTTAAACACAGAAACAGATTTCTGAATAAGGGAAAATGTTACTGTTTTTAAAATGCAATACAGTCAAAAGTCGTTAAGACACTCATAATTCGGAATTATCTATAATCCGGACCTCAAAACTAAAAACTTTCTGCGCATGCGCCGGGTTGACACATGTGCATAGGCGTTTACGCGTGCACGTAAGACCTTTTACGACTGTGCATATGAGTGTGCGCAAGTGCAGAATACGTTTTCGCGTGCGCGTTTTATGTATAATGGACGTATAAGCTAAAATTATCTAATTATCTATTTCAGTTAATGTTGATGATTGCATTGTTCCTTAATTTTCGAATTGGATCCGGCTTATTATTTTTTGCAGACTGTAAGAGCAATTTTATAAAAGTAAGCTTAAACTTTCGATTATATCAAATAGAATTTCCGATATATATTTGTTAATATGTAAAGGATTTAAAGCGAAAGTACGTTTTGAAATCCGAAATCTGTTTATCAATTTCACGCTGCTCGGCGGGAGGAACGCCGCGGCAGGCGCGTAATGAATTGGAAGTTGATCTGTCAGCACTATCCTTATCTTCAGCGCAGATGTTTTTATTTTATTTGGCTTATAATTCATTACCAAATGTAGTATTTCATCTCGATATGCTCCGTCTTTGATATGATTTAAAACAAGTTCCTCGTCATTATAATTCGCTTCCGATTGCAAAGAAAAGTGACAGAGGTGATTGAAAACGAAAAAATTTCGATTGACGAATTAGTCAGTGTTCTTGACACAGCAATTATAGGACTTGAACAGCGGAACTTTGTAACTGAACAAGAAATTATGTCTGTTTAATAGAATTAAAAGAGAAGTATTATCACATGAAAACGAAGCAAAACTTAAACAACTTACATTGAAAGAAATGTTTAATAAAGTAAACAAATAAACATTAAGCTTTTTCTTTTTGCAAATTTTGATACCCTTTAGATCATAATTGTTCTTTATTTCATAAATTACGGTTTCATATTTTTAATTTTAGAATTTCTGCATGCCATCTTACCAGATTTAAACTGATGATCTATAATCCGGAAAAATCGATAATCCGGAATCGGCGAAGTCCCGACGAGTCCGCATTAACGACTTTTGACTGTATATTAAAAAAAATATTTATAGGTTTTTATATTTGATGAAGTAGTGACCAGAACATCAGTAATCTTGATCACTAGTCTCAAATTGGTGGCATAGTGTTCCATTGCAATTTTATGCAGTCTGCAAATACATTTAAATTATATATTTGTTGTAAATATGGTGTTCATAGTTTTAAGAACACAAAGATATGATTATATAATGTGCACAACTGCTGTTGAATGGAAAAGAGGTAGAGTAGTTTGGGGCTTTTGCATTTGTCACTGCTTATATGCCAATCTAAGTAGTTGGGTAAGGCAGGAGAACTTCCCATGTTTATATAATCGGTAAATTTAGTTGGCCAAGCAAACAGTTGGCTGTGCTTTCAGTACTGTGATATTTCTGTTTTTTTTTTCTGTAGACCTGGTGCTTCTGATTTATACATATCTTGAGTCGTTAGTCAGTTTGCTGGTTGTGTAGCTGCACAGTTCATATTGCCATACGGATAGAGACAAACTAACATATAACTTGTAAACCCTGTTTATTTTTTATTATTATACTTATATCAATGCCTATATTTGGAATTGTGCTTAACTTTTGAATGCTGCTTTGAGCAAATTGAAAATACTGCCAACAGAAATTTCTTGCAGTCTAAAAATCCCTTTAAATTTTAGATAAACATAAATCTGAATTTTTTCTTTGCCATTGTGATAATTAATATTGAAATATTTATTAAGTGAAATTTAAAACTCGGTTACAGTTTTTATTTTGCTAAAAACCAAATTTTATTTTGTTAAAGAAACATTTTTGTTTAAAAAAAGGGGGAAGGCATGTTGGTATGCTTTAGAGTTTGACATCACTTAGATCATATTTTATTAATCATGAACCTTGGGTTTTTAATTTGCAAATAAATTTTGGTTAGTGATAAATATAAGTGAGGCACTGTGTTATTACTTGCTGTCGTATAAAGAACTAAATGTCATATTTTTCTGAATACCTTAAAACGATTATAATTTATTTTTAAATTTGTAAAAAATGATGGGAATAGGTCAAATTAATGGATTAAACTTCAGTGTTAAGTTCTTGTTGCTGATATATATAGTCTACATCTGTTTGCTGTTGTAGAAATGAGCTCTGTTGTATTTGTTGTCAGGAAACCTTGCAAAAATACTTTAATGTTTTTTTTTTTTTTTTTAGAGACTTCTGTTTGACACTGTTACGTGTTTGTGAAATTACATATTGAGAGTGGTGTGTAAATATTAAGTAATATTCAGGAATAATTTCATAGATTTGATATTTTACAGCTTATATTTTAACAACAGGGTTGCCACGCTATCTGGAAAACCGGAAAAGGTCAGGGAATTCGGAAATTGACCAAAAAGTTCAGGGAAAAGTCAGGGAATTTAAGTGTTTTAGTCAAAATCTGGAAAAGTCAGGGAATTTCATACAACGATCCCGCCAAAAAAGGCGAGTTTTGCACCGACGTCGGAGAGATCACTTTTTGGCGAATTGTGTATCACGTGAGTGTCATTCAGGCAGCTGGCATAGAGCCAATTTTCGCAGCTCCAATTTGATTGTCTTTTTAGAAAGGCAAAGCAAGTTTCCCGCAACTTTTGGTTTCCAGTAACCTTGAGAATAGCATGTGCAGTGCATGAACTAAAAAGAAAGTACCTGTTCTCGTATAAAACAAAATGGGTTTAATCCTAGTATACGGTACCATGAAGGTTAGAATTAAAAAAATATGTATTGTAAAGAAGGAAAACCTCTCTGCAACAGACGTGGCTCGGTTCCATCATAGCGGGAAACAGCTGTGCATGCGCGATATATCTGTCGCCAAAGCTCGAAACCGATGTCGAAGTTCGAAGGTCACGTTATCAAGAGTTCATAAAATGAATGTCGTTTAAAATTTCTTTAAACTCACTTAAAGGAAAAGAAAATATTTTTTGGCGCAAGTAAATTAATTCATGGATTAGTTATTTTGAGGGGGGGGGGAATCTACGAAAATCTGTTTTTAAAATTATTTCGAAAAATCCAAGAAAAAACGTTCTTTGATAAAACGTTTCTTCTTGGATTTTTCGCAATAATTTAAAAACGGATTTTCGTAGTTTTCTTTTTTTGTCAAAGAACGTTTCTTCTTAACACGTGTTTCTCAATTTCCTGTACACATCGCGGAGAATGAAATTCTGGCTGCCAGGTTCCTTCGCGAAATCCCTTGGCAAAATTTCCCTCCGCATTTTACGTAGACGTTGTTTGGTTAGAATAATCTCCACGTATGTACAGAGGGATTGGGCGACATGATAATGAGCAGTAAACGGGTCATTTTGTTCTTGGCGACAGTTTTCAAAATCATGTGAAGGCCATATCGTATACTAGGATTTTACCGCAAAATCTTTTCTCTCTCTCTTTTTTTTTTTTTTTTTAAATAAATACCTTGTCATTTTGCAGTAAAATAAAAAAATAGTAATCAATCATCTAGGATAACCATGTAATATAACTATATTCACTAAAATATCGTTGATTATTCTTATTAAAGTTTTAAGTAATTATTTTTATGTTATTCATATCATTTAATGTTGTTTCTTCCCTTCGAAATTTATTTATCATTAGTAAATAATATTTCCAAATTTCAGGAAATTTTCTCTGGCATAATCCTGAAATTAATTCTAACAGTATGATGACATCACGAAATTTAATGTACATATTTTTTGCTTTATGTATGCTGCGAAATAAATATAAAATACCTCAATTTATTAGTAAAAAAATATCATTAAATAGATTTCTTTCTTTCGTTTAGCTGCAGAATGTCTGCAAAAAAAGCCTTATTTTATTCCAGATTTGGCAGATTCTAATCTCAATCTTCAGTGGAGGAAAACAACTCCTATTATAATAATATTTGTGTTTTCAAGTGTTAAGGTGCCTTTTAAGAATACACCTCACACAAATTAAATTTACCTAAAATGTAACCTAACTTTTAGCATTGCATTGTGATTTATAAGAACTGGATTAGCCTCGTGTTGAACTGGGGATGATCATGAATAATAATTAAATAAAATGTACAGTTGTTATCCAATGTATATATCTTAAATTTTATTAAGTTTTTTAAGCAGAAAAGTAAACAAAATTATCAAACAAAATGTACGAAGAATAATTAAGAATAAATGTCCTCTGGGATTTATTGAATAATTAAGTGAATTTGCTACACAGTACAAGTAATACCATAATTAATTTACCTGTTAGCACAGCCAACGTACATTACGCGGATAGACTGGAATTTTCTCGAAACATACCTGGAAAACCTGGAAAAGTCAGGGAATTTCATTCTCCTGTTTGAGTGGCAACCCTGTAGTAATTAAAAATTACATTGTGCAATATTTAAAAAATCGTTTTGTGTAACTGTTTTGTCAATAAGTTTTTTTTGCCAGTTCAAATTTAAAAATTAACAGTTACGAAAACAGATTTTAAGCTGAAATGAAAAATTCTTATGTCCTTAAATCATCAAACTAAATTTTTGATTTAATTATTGGTTTAAATAATTATGTAAAGTAAAAGTTGTATCTAAAAACAAATTTTAAATATGCATTTTACTTGTTTAAATGCATATATATGAAGGACTTAATTTTTCTAAATTACTAAGCAAAGATTCATAGACTTACTCAAAGGATTTTCTGTTTTCTAAGGAAAAACTTGCTTGTATTCACATCACACAGAAGAAAAACATCAAATTCTTTGCTATTCAGCTGCTGGAAATATAAATGTGTACATGAGTAACTAGTACTACTGTTTTGAATTGCTAATTCATCCACTAGGTTTTGTACAAATTCATCTTTATCCCAAAACAAATTCTTAAGTTTTTCATCATGATAGCAGTATGTTTTCATTTTAAGAGATCATTTCATGCATAGATTGTTGCAATATGACTTTCAAGTTATTTAGAATTAAGTTGTCATTAATATACCCCTTTCTTTCAGTTGACAACCAAACATACTCAGTTGAATTTAGATAGCTGTTATAAAGAGTGAACTACATAATACTATGTTCATTCTTTATAATATTACAGTTTTATACATTTTTTTTTTTTCCCTCAGAAAGTGTGAAAAGTTTCTAAGACTTTTCAATTATTGTTGATGACACCTTACCACAGTTGAGCCGTGTAATAGGTTGTATCCTTTAAGGTTAAACTTTGCAAACCCATCCGTGTACCTTCTCCTCAAATAACCAGATCAGTTAAAGTTGACAAAAGATTTTTGTAATAATTTCTACTTCAAAACTCCTTGACCAATATGCTGACATTTGGAGGTAAAAATGTAGCCTTTATTTGAAGTTTAAAAGTTTTTATGAAAGTTGAAAACTATGAAAGATTTGCTAAAGAAATATTCTGCAGTATTATACATGATTTGGTGTGCATGAGATTTCGGCTATCCTTTTTTAAACTAGAAATGTGTTTCTGAAAGTTTACAAACATGTTTAAGAGAAATGAGAACGTATAAAACTTAAAACATTGACAAGCATTATGACTATGCTCAAAATTTTCAATGAACTCTTCTGGATGATGTGGCAGGCACATGATTAAGGGAGAATTGTATTTTACTGCTGCTGAATAAGGTCAGGAATTATTCTTGCACTTTTGCGAGTGGTGGGAAAGTTTGCTGATCTAAATGAATTTGATAGAGGGCAGGTTGTAATGGGCCGAAGACTTAGAACAAGTACCTCCAAAACTACACTACTGGTAGGTTGTTCACAATCTGCTGTTGTTAGTATTTATGCAAAGTGGATATATGATGGGGAAACCAGCAGTAGACACCAAGGGGTTAGACGGCACACATAATTAAATAAAAAGGACATTGGTGATTGTCCCACTTGGTACAGCATAACTGGTACAAGACAGTGGCTCAACTGAAAGCTAAATCAGTGCAGGTCCAAGTGTTTTGGAATACACAGCTCAGTGGAATCTGTTGGATATGGGACTGTGCAGCAGATGTCCCTCTTGTGTGCCTTTGTTGATAAAGTATCATTTTTAATTATATCTACATTAGGCCTAGGAGCATCGAGACTGGACCATAGATAAGTGAAAGACACTTGCCTGGTCAGATGAATTGCAGTTTCCTGTTCATGATGTTAATGGTTTTGTCAGGTTCACAGTCTTCCAGGTGAACAGTTCCTCCCTCCAGTGCAGCAAGCCATTTTCAGGAGAGTAGTGGCAGTATTATGCTATGAGGCATGTTCTCATGGGCAGCTCTGGGAGCGTTAGTTATGGGAGAACAGATAAATTTGTAAAAAGTGATAGAGTAGTTCAAATTAGTGGATTAAACTTCGGTGTATGGTCATGGTTGTTGATATATAGTCTACGTACATTTGCTGTTGTAGGAATGAGTATTTTATTTGTTCTAAGGAAATCTTGGAAAAATGCTTTATTTCACTTTTTTTAAAATTTCTTTTTATAGACCTCTGTAGGACACTGTTATTTATCTTGTTTGTGACCATGAAAGCTGCAGATTATCTGAACATAATTGCAGACCCTTACATGGCATCTGTCTTTCCAACTTAAAATGGAATCTTCCAGCGGGACAGTGATGCATGTTATAAGGCTTGAATTGTGTGGAGTGGTTCGAGGAACACAAGGATGAATTTCTTTTAATGTCCTGGCCACCTAACTCATCAGATCTTAACCTTATAAAGTACATTTGGGATGCCAAAGAGCAATTCAGAGCTCGTATACCACCATGTTGGGATATCTTGACTTTGCGTGACCTCTCTGCTTAGACATTTGGTATAACCTGTGTCCAGTCATCTACCAAGAACTTTTAGGATCCATACCAAAGGCGAGTTGCAGGTATTTTGGAGGCCAAAGGTTGTGCAGCGTGCTATTGAATAGGTGGTCAAAATGTTTTAGCTCTTCATTATATATAAAATTGAAACAAATGGAATTAAAAGTAATATAAATGAGTGGAAAATGTGAGCAACTGAAGTAAAACCGAGCTGATGAGTGATAAACTCTTTCCGATGGTCAACATAAAATTTTCCAGATATATTTATTTATTTTTAAGAAAATTTTCTGCTCTTGAAACCAGCAAAAGAATCTTCAGTTCAGTAGCACACTTGAATAACACATTGCCTGCATAGGTGTTGCTTTAGTTGATAATTATAGTTGATTAGTGTGCAATTTTTTTCAGCTCTTGTTTATTTGTTTGGCAACTTTTTGTAGTTTGATCGCAGATCCAGTGATGCTTTTTTGGTGGTTTTTTTGGTGGTATTTTATATTAAATCTTCCAGATCTTTTATGCATATATAGGTGTTAATAAAATCATACGTTAAATTATAGATCATATATTTTAAATTATGTGCACTTGCAAATTTTGTTGGAAAATTTTACTTTTGATTTTCAGAACAGCCATTATAAATTTCATGAAGTTATGAATTTTTACTGCACGAAGAAATATAAATCAAAGTATTGCTTATATAATATGCTGTATCAAGTAGTGATCTTGTTTGTAATTTAACTGCATATTAATTTTCCCCCAGTCTCAAAGAAGCATTTCAATTCTTTTGGAAATAATATTTAAAGTGTTAATGTTTCATTTTAATTTTCTAGAATTTCTCTTTTCCCATTTTAATGCTATTAATTAATTTTAGGTTGTATGAATGGTATGATCCCTCATCTACCAGAGTTGATACCATATTTGATTTCCTGCTTATCAGATAAGAAAGCTCTGTCAGGTCTAGTAAGTCCGATGAGGCCTCTTTTTTTTCATCTTCTCAGATAGTTTTTATTGTGTCATTGTTGCTCAGTTTTCCATAAACATCCAAGTCTTCATAATCCGAAAAAGTAACGTTGTCACATTTAAATTTTTTGCGTTATGAAAAAGTTCTATTAATATCGTCACATTTTTCTATATGAATGTTCTCTTCGGCGTGCATGAATTTAGCACGAAGAAAGCAATTACTAATTGTGGTTTCTTTAAATGCATCCCATGCGGCGTATAGATTTATTTATAGCTGTCAGCAGAGTAAAGTCGCAGTTTTTACTACAATCTAAATTAAAAATGATTTGTTGTAACAGTCTCTTACAATATTTGTTTTAAGATTCTGGATGATTTCTTGATCCATTGATTGTAGCTTCCCAGTTTTTGCTATCTAATCCTTTTAACCAGTTACTGAAGATGTCTCGTGTCATCCATGTTTTGTATTTGATACATAATCAACTAGCAGTGTTCGAATTCCTTTAAAACACAGTGGATTCTTGGACTTTCCAATCACTAATAATTTAAGCTTTCACTCCCATCCATTTTAGCACAAACTAAAGTTGTAATCCTCTGTTAACTGTTTTTACCTCCTACGCAAGCATCCCCTTTAAAAATGTAATATCTTGTTTGGCTAGAGTTTATGAAAAAATGCAATTTAAAAATATCTTTCGGCAAGTAAGTAGAGAAAAACACTGTCCATTTCCTATCATAATTAGTGCATATGTCTTCCTTTACATCAGAGCTTTAGCCATATATACTAATTTGATAAGAAATATTGTGCCTTGTCTTAAATCGAAAAAGCCATC